ATTATTATTATTATTATTATTATTATTATTATTATTATTATTATTATTATTATTATTATTATTATTATTATTATTATTATTATTATTATTATTATTATTATTATTATTATTATTATTATTATTACTATTATTATTATCATTATTATTATTATTATTATTATAATAGTTAACGATTATTGTTAATTGTCACCTTAATTATAAGTATTTTTAGTTGCCAGTACTAATCATAGGTAATATAAATCATAATTACTAGCCATTTTAATTGAAATCAACCAGACATAGCGGAGGGCCAGGCTTAATATAACTGTAAAAGATGGAGCTCATTTTTATTTCATTTCTATTTGATGCAGAGGTAGGTGAATGTTATAATTATGTATTCGCCATCAAAACTGGAAAAGATAATCAAATTGATATGAACCAGAGATATTAAGTTGCAATAGTTGGGCTCAGCTTCGGGAGTGAAGGATTGGTCCCTGTACAGTACAAGTTTTTTACAGCATACTTGTGGGTGGTTAAACTGGGCGAGAAGTCGGTCTTTTTCTCATTAGGGGAAGAGTTATCTGTTCAGAAAGTGCCATTGTATAGAAAGCTTCGCTTATTTGGAAAGTCTGGAAGATCTTGACGTCTGTTAGAAGATCAGATCCCTGTGAGTTATCATTATTCCTCCATCATTTCAAAACCAAGACCTTATGGAAAAAGAGGGATTGGATTACCTTTCTTACAATTCTTACAGTCCACACCATATCTTAGGTCATTCTTATTTTATGTCTCATGTGTTTAAGGTCCAGTATTTGAACTCGGAGACGTAATCACCAGAGTTTACTTTAAGTGAATTTGAGTAGTAGTAGGAGCATGACATGTCCTGTTGTATTTCTTTAAATTTTTGAAGCCCTTACCTTATTTGCTGTGCTGTGCTTAAGCCAATATCCAATCATGTGTATTTTCTTGTGGATCAATAACGGCATCAAGGTTTGAATACTCAGCGGTAATAATCGGTCGTTAAGTAATTAAGCATGTGCATATTCGCGTTTTCGGCAGTTTGCTTCTTTTCGAATTTCTGAAGTGCTTGATGGTTCTGTTCATAATGGCGGTCTTATTTTTAAATTCCAAAGCGATATTATGCATAATTTTTCAATTTTATGGTATTTATGGAATGGTTGTTTCTTTGTCTGAATCTTGTTTTTTTTTTTCCGTATCTCAACGTCTGATTAAAATAGAATGCAATGCTGACAGTGACTCAATGGCTAGGATTGCTTTGATTGCTTAATTGATTCATCATTAGCGAATTTTTAAGGTAAAAAGGGATGACAGATAAAGGTGGCATTGGTGCCCAGCAATATCAAATACCACCACCGAAAACGCAAGGTGCTGCCACAGGAGGACAGCAACTTTCCGCAACTGCCACGCAGTTTGTGGACAAAATTGACCCATTTTCTAAAAGGTACGTATTTTTACACTTCTTTGTTTTATATGATTATCGCTTTTGTTGTGCATCCTTATGTTGTGAATCACGATGTTTATTATTCGAGATATATAAGCCATATGTATCGTTCCAAGATGACTTAGAGCTACAGGCAGAGTTTTTATATTCTCGATTGAGAGAACGGATTTTGCTGAAAGAATGCTTTGCAGAGGAACTAGCAAACGTCGAAGAAGATTGGTTAATAGCAGTAGATATCATCCGGACAGTGAACCTGAACTCACTCAATTGCAGTTGATTAAGGGTATATTTCTTGTTTATTGAATCTTCCTGAAATTAGTTCCTTGTTGTTCCATTTTGAGCTTATAAGCTTACAGCTAGTTTTATTTTGGTTTTCTGTTTATTAATGCCGTCTTTCACATGTCACGTTTGGTTGCGTACTTGCAGTGTTGACGAAATGGATGAGTTTTGCGATGTGAATTTCAAATCAGTTTTATATGCTCATAGAGCGGTATTCGTAATCTATCGAATGAAAGCTAAACCCCAAAATTTTTGAAAATAGTGATGGATTCTCCGTGGCAATAAATACCGTAAAAAAGATCACATTGGATCAAAATGTGTATCTGGTTTGTCAGAGCTAATAGGGGTGATCACTTAATGCAAAGTTGAGTTTAGTAAGTTCACGAAATCTTTGAAATATTTGCAGACACTCATGCTGTTTCTATATCTTTATGGCACTTTGTCACTCCTTTAATGAACCTATCACGGAACACTGCATCTTTTTGAAGTGTTGCACCTTCATGCCATTTAACTTTTTTCATTTTATGGTTAGGGTTTATATGTCATAAAATTTTAAACATAAGCTAATACATTAAACAGAGTTAGCGCTTTATGTAAATGGTGTGTACTATAACGATTTCTAAAACTATTTATTACCACATTTCGAGGTAGTTTTTGCGGCTATATTTACCTCCTTTAATGAACATGTTGAGTCCCGTTTAACGACTTTCCCAAGAACATTTCTTGGAGTTGAATCCGGCATATGGCTTCTCATGACGATGCATGTTCTGGATTTTTATTTGCGTTTATAATGTATTCTGTACTGCCTATCAACTAAGAAGGCGTAACTCGGCGTTCGACATTGCTATCTACCTTGATATTAAAATGAAATACCTGATAGCTCACTCGGAACATTCCATTTTCTAATAATTTATATGAGGCTGACGTTAAAAATAAAAAAAATTCGCTTCAATTTATAAGAAATATGTCATAGAATAGCTTTTTTTTACAATGGAAACATCTTTGTTAGTCTTTGCCATGAAGTATTAAAACTAATTCTTTCCATTATATTGAAAAAAGTATGCCATGATGACATAAAAGAGCACTTTATTCATTAAAGAGTAAAATGAGTAAGTAATAATACCACAGAATTCGAATAATGATATTTGTGACTGGCCTTCGTTAGTACCCCCGAACTTAGAAATTTGGCTAATCTTATTGATGTTGATTTATGTGTATGGAGAGAGAGAGAAAGGGAGAGAGAGGAGAGGAAGAGGAAGGAAGGTGTGAATCTCATTTTTTCCGATGTAAAATGAGGGAAAAAGTTCAGCAAGGGAAAAAGTTCAGCATTTTTCTTTTAACGTGTATAATGAAGGAAGTACGGTAAGCAAACCGAAATATTGATGGGACTGGCAAATTTTACTAAAGAGCAAATTCTTGTTTTGGTACGGAAACTCTCGTTTTTGGTTTTGGTACAAATGTTACCAAAAAAAACATTTGTTGCAGATGCGCCAGCAACAGAACAGTCAGCACTTGTTGTCCAGAAATTACAACAGTGTCAGAAAATATTTGATTTTTATGATCCGGTAGCTCAGCTTAAAAGTAAAGAGGTCTGCATTTTCTGGATATTTTCCTGATATTAAAGATCTTCAGTAAGCGTCAGTAAATGTCACAAATGAATCTCCATCGTGCTTGGTCTTGTAAAACGTTAGATATTTTAAAATCCAGCAAAATTTCTTTAAAATTCCTGCGAGCGCAGCATGCTATTGTTAGAATATTAGATCAAACGGATTTTGAGGAGTTGATTCTATATGGTAAATCTTTTCTTTTTTTTAAAGGCTGTCGTCTTCAGATAAAGCGTGCAGCTCTGAATGAGCTAATAGACCATATCACAACAGTGAAAGGTGCTATAACGGAATTGATATATCCAGAAGTGATTAAAATGGTTTCGAAAAACATATTCCGCGTATTACCGCCATCAGATAATTCGGAATTTGATCCCGAAGAGGACGAACCAACATTAGAAGTTTCGTGGCCTCATTTACAGGTGTTTTAGCTCAGATTTTACATTTCATTAGCTAAATGTCATTTTAAAAGATTTGGAAGGTTGGGTAAGGATGGATGAGCTTTGTATCTCAATGTTTTTTAAAACAGTTGTGAATAGATTTCATCAAGATTATATGAGTTTCCTCATAGGTAGCTTCTGTCCTTTTCAGAGCAAAATATTTTTGTCAAAATTCAAGCTATTCAATAAGATAGTCTCATCTTGACCAATGAAGAAGAAGCAAGGCCAGAATTTCTATAGTTATATCAATAAATTTATTTCTTAAAAATTAGTTTATGCAGTTCATCACTTTTTGAAAGAATGTAACTCATTTTCTCTACATTCCCTCTTCAGTATTTAAGGAAGTTCTTATAATTTCAGCTAGTTTATGAACTTTTTTTACGATTTCTTGAATCACCGGATTTTCAAGCTGCAGTCGGTAAAAAGTATATCGACCAACGTTTTGTACTCAATGTTAGTTTGTTCGCTCATTACATTCTCTCAAGAATCCACTTTTTAGCTGAGGAAAATTTTTCGTATGATTCACTTTTTTCAAAAAATTTTTTCCAATAATAAATGTACTTTACTAATTTGATTTTTGCGGACTATTCTTTCCTTTTTTTTTAAATGAAAACTGCAAGATTTGTAAATTTAAGAACATAATGCTACACTGGTATCACTGTGAGCTAGTGGTATAAAGCTATAAAAGACGGATTTTCGGTATTTTTGGGATATGCTTTTTCTAAACAAATGTTTTTACTGAAAAGAGCAAAAATTTCGTTACTTTATGGAGTAGTTAAGTAAATAAATTTTTAGCTGTTAGATTTGTTCGACTCGGAGGATCCGCGGGAAAGAGATTTTTTGAAGACAGTTTTGCATCGCATTTATGGGAAGTTTCTTGGCTTACGTGCTTTCATAAGGAAGCAAATCAACAACATGTTCTTGTCGTAAGTCATATGCCAGTATAGTTTTTTTATAACAACTAATTTGTCGAACACCGTGACGTTATTGCGTTCCAAATCTTCTAAGAAACGACATTGAATAATGAGGGATTTCCATTGCTTTGTAGCTTCAGTTGGACTAGTGTTACTAGTGTTCCAATTGAACTAGTGTTCAATTAATTATGACTTTCCAGATTTAGATTTACATTATAATTCACTTTTTTTCCAGTTTTGTTTTCGAAACGGATTCATTCAACGGTGTTGGTGAATTACTAGAAATTCTAGGAAGGTAAAATCTCATTCGCTTACATCTCCTACCGAGGACATTCTGATAAATTGCATTTTCTTTCGGACTTATCCTTCCTTTTTTCAAAATCATTCTTTTAACTTAAGCTTGATGTCTGTTGAAAATGTGATATATATTTTTCTTCTTTTCTTCTTTTTTGTAAACTCTCTCTAACCATTGCCAAGAAGAAATTTAAAAAAAGGTATCTCTCCGACTATTGCAGCATTATAAATGGTTTTGCTCTGCCATTAAAACAAGAACATAAGGTATTTCTTGTGAAGGTGCTTCTCCCTCTTCACAAACCACGCTGTTTAAGTCTCTATCATGCTCAGGTTGGTCGTGGTTTCTGTTCCTAAGATTAAAACGCTTTCATGACTATTTGTTTCACTCCTGCTCTGTTATGCTTGGTCATTTTTACGCATTCGTAGATGTTATGGTTGTTGAAAATTTATTGGTTTTATGAGAATTATGGGAGGATTTTTCACTTCAATTGGCTGCAAATAATATAACAAAATGTTCAGCTCGCTTATTGTGTTGTGCAGTTTATTGAAAAGGATTCAACACTGACACCACAGGTTTTTGATGCTCTGCTCAAGTTTTGGCCGAGGACATGTAGCGCAAAAGAAGTATGTTACCTCGAAATTGATCATATAAGCTGAAGTTATTTGTGATTAGGGAAAAAAGTATCATTTTAGGTAATGTTCTTGGGTGAAGTCGAAGAAATCCTTGATATTATTGAACCGGAACAATTCAAAAAAATTATCGAACCGTTGTTCAAACAACTTGCGAAATGTGTTTCTAGTCCTCATTTCCAAGTAATATCTTCTCTTCTGTAGTTTTATCTGTCTGACACTTTTGACACTTTTATTGGACGTTTGTAAAATTATCTTGATCAGAGTTGGAAGTATATTTCTAGGTAGCGGAAAGAGCACTGTATTTCTGGAATAACGAGTATATCCTGTCCTTAATCGAAGAAAACAGTAGCCAGGTGAGCCTCTTCTTAAGTATCTTTTTATAGAAACTGTTTAAGTTAAATACACTTCCCACCTATTCAGGAATATTACTTCATCACTTTACTTTCTTTCATTATTTTGCTTTTTCTTTTTTTCTACATCCAGTAGTGAATCCGAATCGTTTTGCTCGAACTCCCTTTGTTGTTTCTATGATAATTCATAGAAAAACTTGGGGGATTTTGGAAGCCATCGCCTGTTTGTTATGTCTCACATTCTTGCTCAACCTCAAAGAAGTTCCACGATCTTCATTATTGTCAGGAGAACCTTGTCATGAAGACATAATCCCTTAGTCGTTCATTTCTCATGAAAATACAGGTGATGCCGATAATGTTCCCTGCATTGTATCGGATAAGCAAGGAACACTGGAACCAAACAATAGTGGCGCTTGTTTATAATGTTCTCAAAACATTTATGGAAATGAATGGAAAACTTTTTGATGAACTGACTGCAAACTACAAGCTCGAGAGGCAAAAGCGAGTTATTTTTGACAAATACTTGTGATTTTACGCAATGGACATATCCTCAATCATCTTAAGATTATAGAGCGTTGTGTATTAAAGCTATTAATACTTTCATTATTTACAATTTCAGAGAGAAGAGAAAAGAAAAGGAACGTGAAGATTTATGGAAACGTTTAGCAGCAGTTGAGCTTAATCCTCCTAAGGATAGAGATCCACATATACTGAGCAAGACACCGCTAACAAATTTCACAGCTAAACGGGAATTACCTGCTGCATATGGACTGGTTGCCCCAGCAAATTCTGTTGGAGACAAGTCACCAAATTTTAGTAAAAGGTGGATAAGCTTTTATGGTTGGAGTTGGGGTTTTTGCATTAACTGATATAATTGGTGCCATACTTCTTGGCTTCCCCTCAACACAGCTTATTGGTGACTTTTATGGTAAACTTTATTTCGACGTTATAATCCTGATAAGAGCAACTCCTGTCGTAGAAACATTAATTCTTTTGATAATATTGATATTTTTCACTCTGCCACATAGTTTCGTCACGAAGTTTCGAATGGTATTTTATTGAAATGACTATGATTTTTTGTGATAAATAACGAAGGAAAGTTTGGAAAATTTCTTTCTTTCAATATGGCATATATCAGCAGCAATTGTTGAAGAGGAAGAAATAGGTCTGAAATGATCTCACATAAATTTTTAAACTTGTGTTAACCAAATAACTATCCTTAGAACAATTTTGTCTGAACTTTACGGAATTCCAGGTCAAGTGCTGGAACGAACAACAACTCCGTCAAAAAGTGATAATCGCCTTATGTGATTACTATCTTGTAACTAATTAAACAAATGGCTTGGTTGCATGCGTAAAATCTTCGTTGAGTGAATTGTGCTGTTTCATTAATTTTCAATAGTGACCGTGTTTTTTATAAGAGTCTGGGGTTGATCATGTATCTCTTTGTGATGTCGTAGAGTATTTTCTTCGAGATTTTTGTTTCTCTTACTCTTGAGGGAAACGAAAAGTATTTGGAACTTTCTTTAGGTATAATCATGCTTTCAAGCTTGTCGCGGAAACCCGTGTAGGTTCGAACCAAAGATTTTTACATTCATATTACTACTTATTTTCTCGCGAACGTGCTTATTTATCTATATTTGTGGGAGTCACTTTTATAATTTGCAGTTTTCAGCTTTGATCCTTTGATTTCATTGCTTATTGTCAGGCACTGTTACAGTTTGATTTTCTATTTAAATTTATTAATGTCTTTCTGCTGTTAATAGCAAAGGACAATACGACTGAAATGCATCAAGAGCGAGTAGATGGGGTTCGAACGGTCCTGCAGTTTGTGTAAGAAATAATTTTTGGGACATGTCCTCTAGTGTTATATTTATGTATCGGAATTCTAGCCGCAACTAGTCCGGATGGGTAAATGTAATACGTGTGTTGTTACTATGAGAGCGGTTTCAGCAAAGCTAGTGGTGAAACATCCACTTGTTGTTGGTCTCATCTGAAAATTCACGAACCTTGGGGCTTAGATTTCGCTTCATTTATTTCCATATTCCTCCATCAGTCTTAAAGGCTTATTTCTTTACTCGCTAACGAGTTATATATTTTTAGAACAGTAACCCCTGCCATCTCTTCTATATTCATGAAACATCCATTTTGTATTTTGTTTGTTAGACTATTCCTCCTTTGTATTTGATTACCGTGAACTATTTTAGTCCTTTCCTAGCTTCACTTCTGTAAAATCATAAACACTTTCTGGCGTTTCATATTTAATGTTTGTACATGATAATGGCTCGTAATTTCTTGCGGAACAATGAATTTTTGTTTTGCTTATTGACAATTTACAAACCCTTCACTAAGATTTCATACGCGGCAGATTTCAAATGACATGAACACTCCTGTCGATACGTGAAGGAGGAATTTACTCATCGAGGTATTCATTCACCTCAATCGGTATAGATTCGTAGATTTAGATTCAATGGGTCATATTTACTGAAAATGAAATCCATTCATGAAAAATAATAATGCGCATGGGAACATGAAGCGGAAGAGTACCTCCCGTCGTGATGTGAAAGTATATTCTACATTTTTAAGATGTTCTTAGTTTGGTCTTCAAAGAAATACATTTTAAAGAAATTCTTAGAACATTGATAGATGACCATACCATGTCACAACAATTTGAGAACTGACAATCACAAGCATGTAAATAAACATGATGGAAGTTAAAAATGCATCATTGATATAACAAACAATTCACCGGCTTCAGTTTAAAATTTACAAAGGTGAAAATGTAAAAATTTAAATATGGTGAATCAAATAACCCGTATTGTGTGACGAGAGCGAAACAACCAGCGAATAATTTACACTCACAAAGACAAAGACAACGGTGGAAACTATTCTGGCTCGGTGACAGAAATGTGTATGAAGAGCATCTGAAAAGCATTACCTAGCAGAAGCTGCTGATTTTTAACTACTCACATCATTTGTTGGTAGTTATCAAATCTAAAAACCAACCCTGTTCTTATTTGGTGGCACACCCAATAAAGTCATGTCTTTTAATACTTTTGTGTCGTTGGCTGACTTCAAAACATCTATTAAATTAAGCCAAATGGTCGCAGGAATATGTTGCGTCCCTGACACAAATATTAGCAGCATGAACTTATAAAATCACGAAAAATCATTTACATCAGAAATGCTACATGTCGAAGTTATATGTCGTTTTTGTTGTCGGGAAAACATTGGATAAGTGCTGGTTCATGGAAAGGTTTCACAAATTCCATTAACTACAACTGTCAACCGCTCTGTAATGCAAGCGCACAAAAGTCTACAGCACAACACGCCTTTATAATTTATTATTCAGGAAATCTACTGATCGTGTTACTAATTCTGCAGGCCAGACAGTATCTTCAACTAGCATCCGAAGCTTATTGAAAAATCCGACAACAAAGATTGGGTGATGCGCACAAAAATAACGCGACGTTGCAGTGAATCCTTCCAAATTTTGCATTACCTTCTCTCTGTAACCCTTCTAACACCGAAAAAGGCTGGTTAAAACTCAAAATCAACTATCCTAAGTATATGGGAATTTGAGTGCCGCTTCCATAAGAGATGCAGATTTAAGCATTGAACAATATCAATCAACTTTCTAGAGATTTTTCTGAGAGGTTAACAATGATTTTGGAAGGATTCAAGAATTGATATTTGAAGAGAAAGTGAGAGGAAAAGAGACCCACAAGATGTTCAATTTACGACGGGCAAAAATTTACATTTTCTTGGAAAAAAATGCAAACAGATTGAGAAACATCGAAGCATGCATACATAAGATAACAATAACAACAACAAATAACAGTATTAAGATTAGAAGTAGTAATAACAGTGAGAAGTTAAAACTGACTGCTGTCATCGTTACCGACCGTGTCATTATCAGTGAGTGAACTAGATCATAAAATCAGATGAAACGGAGGGACGACCATTCGAGAGGGGGGCACTGGAAGATGGTACACAACAAACTGGGGGTGCCGACATCGGACGACATTTTTGGAGATTAGCAGAAGACGAAGATGACACTGCTGCACTTTTTGAATACTTCTTTTTGAACGTATTTAGTTCATTCAATGTTAGCTCCAATTTCTGCTCGTAAAATGCTCGAATATCTTCTATTGCGTTCTTTATGGTCTCCTGGAACTGATTATCTTTTCTCCTTAAGATGGATAACAGAAACCAAATAGCTTGGTAAAACACAAAAATGATCCACAGTGTTTTCCAACAATTACATATAACCCCACCAAGACAATTCGGCCAGACTGGGTAAAATATCAGCCCATCTCCCAAGAAAAAACCTGAAGAGCCTAATAGATTATATAGTCACTAATTCAACACAGCAATTGGTTTTCACAATAATTATAATCGTTTTGCTGATGTTGAAACAAAAGTGAATCCATTAAAAAACTTCGCTCACATGCACCATAGATATATCCATTTGTTGATTTCAATTCATAAAATTTTTGAGGGCATTCTTTCTAAACTGAATGCAACATTTTTAAAGCTTCCGTTAAAAATAACAAGGGGAAAGGAAACTTCCATAAAAAGTATCATTAATTTCAACCATTACCAAAGGAAAGACAATTCTTAAAGATATGAATAGTGCATATAAGCATTTTCTAAAGGACATAAAAAGCCAACAATGCAAAATTATGTAATAAATTTGTACGTGTGCACCTTGAAATGGACATAACATGCCGTTTTTACACAAAAGTTTCATTACTTTTGCAGGACACACTACAAAAATAGAACTGAAATTAAGGTTAACGCAAAACCTATCTTATATCTAGCTTTAGAAGACTCAAAAGAGATGGTAAGGAACATCAGTAGATAATGTATGTATATCTAGTATTAAATTTGATACTTGAAAGCAGAAACCGGTCTAATTTTGAAGAAAAACTGTTTGGAATTCACATGTAAGTAACTCTCTCCTAAAAATCCTATCTGAATGAAAATGCTCACGGCATCGAGTGCACGGCGTATTTCGGGTTCAGCAAGTTTTACTTTTCGTTCCAGCTCAGCTTTTTCTGTAAGATGTCGCTTTTTCCACTCATCATTGTTCTTCCTTTCTGCTGCTGCCATTGCATCTTTAATCTCAATTCGTTTCTCCAGGTCTGCTTTCTCCTACATTGCGATCAGTTGAAAATAAGACATACAAATGGAATATGAAATGGAATCATAATAACACTAAAACTAATCAGGTCCACTTTAACTCTATAACTAATTTCCCGTAACAAGAAGAAAACCCGAAAGAAGAGAACACAAAGCTCAAAAACTGCGCACACCATACCTTCTTCCATATTCGTTCCTTTTCTTCATAGCTTCTCAACTGTGCCACCATTTTTCTGAAAGGTGAACACTGTTACAAGAACGATAATTTTCTACAGCTATAAATCTAATGACAGAAAACTAGACTATATTATCTGTCACCAATTTTTGAAATGCACAGACCCTCATCAGATGGTAAGCTTAATCAATGAAAATTACCTTCCCTCTTCAACTCTTTGCCTTAGCTCACCCTGCAATCCTTCGAATCGTGGTCGCATTTCAGCCAGTTCTTTTGTCGATTCGTCACGCCTGAAAATTGACAACATCAAATTTTGTCAATAAATGTTTATACTTAATCTGATTTTCTCAAAAAAAAAAATGAAATGATACAAAGTAAAAATGATCTTCATTTAATTGCACAGTTAAAGAAATAATTATTTAGATTTCAGACTTTATGTAACATTCATGTTTGACGTACAATCCTATCAATGCATTAGGTATTCTTAGCATACAAATAAAGGAAACTCTTATAATGATGACATTACAGGTTTGTTCCATATGAGCAACCATACCCTTTCCTCTACGCAAAATGAAGTTTGCATGCTAAGGAAATCCTGTTTTGCATCCTCTGTTTTAAAGATGACAAGAAATATACCTGCTAACAAAAGCCTTATTTTCTTCACATAGCTCCTCGCATTTCTTCACAAGTTTTATATTTCTTTCATTCAAAAACTTATTCTGCTCCTTGCATGATATAATGGTTTTCTCACCACTTTCTGCGTCCCTTCGGCGCCTATCGCATTCTGCTCTCAAACTACCGCAAGTTTTTTGCAAATCTTCCACTGCATGTTCGAGTGTTTTCATAACCTAAAAATAATAAATTGAGTTCATGTCATCAGAACAGAATTATCTGAGACCTGCTCGACATCGTCGTGATATAGAACCCCGTAATACCGGGCGCTAAATCCATTCCCTGTACTTGACTGCTAAATAAACTATTGACAACTTACACGGGCTAAATTTTTCTTTTTTTTTTTTGAGGAAAATGTCATATTTCTTGAAAAACTACTAGTGAGGTTTGCCACAGGTAACTATTACACGCTTTTGGCATCGCATTCAGTGTAATAAATTTATGAAAGGAAATGACAGCTCAGTGAAGCAAAAACTATTTCCAAAATAGGGTGACAAGAGCGAAGATCCAAACGTATTTCCAGACATGCAAAGAATGTAATAAGAACAGCACACATGTTTCATAGAAAAGTTGAAGGTCGTGACCTTCAAAACAAATGTAAGGAAATACCATTTTTCTAGAAACATTTATTTTACAAAAAATATTTTTACTTTGACTGGAGGTCTACATTAGTTACTTATATAAGTCAAATGAGAAAACTGATGTAACAACTCGATGTCAACATATTACCTGTAAAATCTCAGAATTTTGTGCTTCCAGACGTAATTTCTCTGCGTTGACATCGAATACAGTCTGCTCGGCTCGCCCACGGGCTAACTGCGCAGCTTTCAGTTCCGATTCCAAGGATCTTATTCGTTGTTCACTTGCTGACAGCTGACTAATCAGAGTAGTACGCAATTCAAAATCGGACTGTGTTGATCCTGCCGAACCGCTGTATGTAGACCTGTGATACATTAAATTAAGACTTTTTGTTTTGATAATTAAAGCTTTTACCTCTGAGATTTCACAGCTGTATCACTAGCCTTTTAGTACTCTAGAAGTCTAATTTCTTATATTACGGCTAATCCTTTGACTGTCAAAAAATAACTCACTGAAAAGCAGGGTTCATGTACACAACTGGATTCCTCCTTCCAATCGGTGAGAGGGAACCTGAGAATGAGTGACTGCGTGAGCGTCGACGTCTTTTTTTGTGGGTTTTATGATGGTGATGTTTTGAATGTCCATCATCTCGAGATGGGGAATCACGTTTCTGAAAAAAAAGCATAGAAAAAGGATGGAAAATACTCAGAAGATCTACAATTTCAAGTTAGA